TCGGTTTGATGCAACGTTTGCAGATAGAGAAATCTGTTTTAGGACTACTAGATGACATAGGTTTGGGAACCATCTCTTGTAGGCAGTACGATTTGTATCCTGACCTAGTTAGATAATTCATGGCTTCTGTTAGGGTCTACTATGTGAATGAAAAGAAACGCAATGCTCAGGAAGGAGCTCTAATCTTCTTCATCCGCGGTGTCAGATACAGTCTACCACTCAGAGCATTATGCGACATTTATGGCTTTGACATTGATCTCACTGGAGTTTCACTGCCTGGACAGTTTAAGGATGCTCAGGTTTTCTAGAGCAGGTTTGGTAATGGAATTTATGATTCCAAGGACGCAGTACACTCAGTGATTCGTCACCCTGTTTTGCGATATTTGGTTACGCTGATCAACAGCACACTCTTATGCAAGATGGAGCCTGGCAAGATGAGACTTTCTGAGTTGTTGTTACTTTATCATGCTATTCCAAATAGCCTCGGATTTGAGGAGGTTAACCGTGATGTCAACTTTGGCGTTGTCTTTGCTCATCACTGGTTTCTCTCAAGAACAAGCCCTTTACGGGTAAAAGGAAAAACTCTAAGATAGTTGGCAGTCTTCTCACTCCTATATTTCAGCATTTTAGCATCAGCTTTGAAGGAGAGAAGGTCAACACCATGAGATTCAATATGGATGAGACTTATTTGAAGAACTCTCACTGGCTTAAAGGCAACTTACTATGGTGCTTCAGAGATGATACATGGCAACATATGATTTAGTTACCTTGCCCTGCGCTTTCAGAGATTATAGGAGAGCATGAGGAGATTAGTTTTCATCTCGATCCTTCCCTTCTGCATTTCGCGCCACGCTCTAGGAGATAGAGAGGTTCAGCTTCAGGATCCGCACCAACTCAGACTGAGGATAAGTTTATCGACCCTGCTGGGGGTCCTCGAGTTGGCTCTTCCTCTTCAGCTCTCCCATATCATCTGCCTTCTCCTCCTCCTATCCCGATGGAGCCACAGGTCTTTCAGCAGAACGTCATCGACATCTTTAAGAGTGTCTGGAACGCCATAGCTACACTCTCTCGCTGCGGTTGTGTTGCTCCCACTCGTCGCCGTCATCGCTCTCCCGCACCCACCTCCGGCTCAGAGCATGAGGATTAGCCAACCTCCCTATCTTGCTTTGTTTTCTAACTTTGTTTTTGCTTTATTTCAGACTATTTGTTAATTTTTTTGGAACTTGTTGCACTTATTTTCTTATGCTTTGTTGGAACTATAGATGTGTGTTTTAGTGATTTAACAGTCTTACTGAAGGATTCATGTGAAAACACTAACCCAAGCTCTACAACAATGAGCTGAGTTCACAAAGCTATGCAAAAACGACCAGAGTGTCGATCGACACCACCCTGATATCGATCGACACCACTCTCAGGTGGCAACTCCCGTTTCTCTAACTTATAACTTTTGACTATTTCTCTTTCGATTCCTCTAGCTTTATAACTTTGGGGGCAGTGTTATTTAAGTCTGGGGGAGTCAGTTACTAACTTCATCTTTTCTTTTCTTATGAGTCACTTATGTCATTCTAACTTAGATAGTTGTTTTATTGAGTCAAAACTTTTGTCTGAAATTAATGATCAATCTCTCGAGTTTATTGTCTAGTTTGCTTAAGTACTGCAAATTCAAATCAATCCAACTAATGGAAAATCCAGAAAGCCAACCAACAAACTTAAGGACATCCATTCCCAACATAATCCATAGAGGCTAGAGCTAATCTCACTGCTCTTCCTTTTATCTCATCAAAACGGTTAGTGTTCATAGGACTTGACTCCTTGTTCATACCTGATAAGTCGACCAATGTGATAAAAAGAAAGTATTCCTCTCCCTTAAAAAAAATAGATAGAAATAAATACATGAGAGATTGATAGGATTTTCAGACAGTGTATAGGGTAGGAAAGTTTCCTATGACCCCATTATTATACATTGTTTGAAATGATCAATTACAAAGGTTTGAAAAATGTCGAGGGTATCAATCCAGTATGCAAGTTCCCCTTTGTTTGCTCTCTAAAAAGAATAAGTCTGAGGGAGAGAAAGAATACCAAAATAAAAAAAAAAAAAAAATTGAACGGTCGATTTGTTATGTTATAGTACAGGAATGAGTCTAGAAGGTTCTGAATCATTAACTTGATTGATGAGACCCAGCGATGATAGCCTAGTGGATATAGTTGCGTGTTTTGGTATGGAATATAGGATGTTCTGTGGGCTAGCGGAGAATTACATGGTGGTCACGATTTGATTAGAACTGTTTAGTGCATGGATTTGGTTTGTATGATCAAGGTAATAAGCTAGAGAGATTGGGAGTTTTTACGTTTTTCAAACCTCTTTCACAAATTTGGGGGAGTTAATATATCCTGATTTTTACTGATTTCTAACATAGTTTGAGAGTAGTTTTTAGAGTCTTTCTACTCTTTTTCGTATGTTTTGAGTCATTTCAGGTACACTTACACATTTGGGAGATATGGAGCATAATAAGGAATTTTGGAAGCTTTTCAGCAATGAAGATTATCGAAGACGTTTTTCACGCGATGGTGTCGATCGACACCAAACCTATGTCGATCGATACCCTTAATTTGGCTGAGGGAATTTATGTTTTCTGCCAAGTCTTTGAGAAGCCCTGAAATTTTCCTTATTAGCAAAGTACTCTCTGCACGTTTTTAGTCACAAATATACCTAATTATTTGGTCATTGTTAGACCTAAGTTTTGTTTTGGAGATTGATATACATTTCGAGAGAAGAATCCAACCCATGCAGAAAGGATTTTGAACTCCTTTTACTCTATTTCTAATTCATCAATGCAAACTATTCAGATTATGATTTGTGTTTCTGTTATCATGTTTGAGTAATCACCCTGTTGGGTTTAGGGTGTCTCAATAGGGATTTAGATGGATTGGTAGATCAAAAACCCCTTAAGATTATTCTTAGAGTTCTTCAATTTGTTTATTCTTATTGGTAGTTCTAGATTGATCACCTAGAATTTGATATTAGATAATAAGTATGCCCACCATAGATACTTGTTATTATAACTATTATAGATGAGCCTAGGCATTTAAGAAAGAACATGTAGGCTCATAGAAGGGCTTTGGTTTAGATACTAGGTGAACTAATAAAACTTGATAATAATGCATGCTTTAGTATATGATTTCTCGGCTTCTTAGGTTCTCTTAGCTCTACGTATAGAGAGTTTCGCAGAACACCACCAATTACTCTAATATCATAGTTTGAGTTTGACAATGGTGCAATAACAATCCAAATATTAGCTAGATCGGCAATTTATCTATCTCCCGAGACAATTCCTTGGACCCGACGCTTTAATCACTTGAATCTACAACTCGTTTACTTGGTTATTCGTCTTTTACATTCATTTACTTTGTCTAGCTTATTTAAAAACATCATAAGTCTATTGTGTGAACATCGAGACCTCAGTGGAATTCGACCCTTAAGTGCTAATGACGATCTCTTATTTGAGGGAGTAAGCTTAAGGTAATTTGAGCTATATCACTAGGTTATCTGTAGAATTCTTCATCTTTGATTATATTTAATGCTAGATTTAGAGTAATTAACTAGACTTTGAATCTAGACAATAGATATGCCCACTATAGGTATCTGTAGTTGGATATATTATTTGATGAGCCTGGTTGGTAGGTGTGTAATAAGAATAGGCCTATCTACTAAGGTGAACAATTGAACTCGTTTAGAATGCATGTTTAGGTTAAAAATCTCTCGGCTTCTGCAGTTATTCTTAGCTATAAGCATAGGGAATTTTGCGGAACACCCTTGGTTATTCTATAATTAGAGTTTGAGTTTAAGAGTGGTTGGATAAAGACCTAGCTTTCATTAGATCTACTAACCGGTAGTTTCCTGAGAATACCCTGTTACTAGCTTTTTATTTAATCGTTTACAAACAATCAATATGCTGTGTTTTTACTTTGTTCTCCTTTATTTTCAATCATTCCCTACTAGCTTAATCTCGATATTTAATTCACTGTGTGAACAAAAAAACTTTGTTTAAATCGATCATTAAATACTGCAATTAATCTCTTATTTGAGAGAGTAGTTCTTAGGGTAATTTGAGCCTTATGAGTTGATCACCATTGAGTTTAGTTTAGAGATTTTGTATAGTTTTTACTTTTATTTTGTTACTCACGCGTTCCTTGTTTTCTTCCTTTTTTGTGTTTCAGGTGTATGTAGGCAAACAAGGAGCACACAACAGAAGGAGCTGATCAACTTGTCTGTTCAGGACTTGGGAAAACTTGAACGCACAAACCGAATAACTCAGAGATTAGCAATGGCTGACAAAATCATCCGAGCTGATGCATAAGGAATTTTGAGAGATGAGGATGGGCAAGCTGGTCAGAGATTGGATGATCATGGACTCATCCTACGTGAGGACGTTAATGACGATCAGGCGCACCTCAATGCGCGATTAGCTGCCAGAGACGCACAAGGGCTCGGTGTCGAGCAACACCAACTGGGTGTCGAATGACACCTTCGGGAGCAGAATGCAGACGCGATTGGTGTCGAGCGACACCACAGAGGTGTCGATCGACACCAACTCCAGATTCCTGCAGCTATTCCTCCATTTGCAGAACCACGTCGTACTCTTGGGGATTTCAACAGGTCTGACCTGTTTTATGTTAATCAATTTGCGATTGTACCCCCACCCTTACAGAGGAACGATTACGAGCTGAAGCCTAACTACTTTGCTTCAGTTGGCTAGCATCCCTTCCATGGATTGTCTCATGAGCAGCAAATGGACCATATCGAACGTTTTGAGGATCTCGTTCTGAGCATCAAAGCTAATAGAGTCTTAGAGGACTACCTACTGTGCATGCTCTTCCCTTATTCACTTGTTGGGAAAGCCGCTTCTTGGCTGAAACAACTCAAAGCAGGTTCCCTCAAGACTGGGAGAAGCATCAAGATAGCATTCTTGAACAATTTCTACGATGATGGTAAGTTTGAAGAGCTGAGGACTAAGATGTCTACCTTTACCCAAGGTCTAGCTGAAGTTTTCAAAGCCGCTTGGGTTTGTTTCAAGGAGTATCAACGGGACTGCCCGCATCATGGCTTCAGTGAGGTACAACTTCGTGGTACCTCTTTAAGAGGAGTTGATTTGAGATACCAGATGGCTCTAGATGCAGCAAGCAATGGTAACTTCAACACGAGATATCGAGCTGATGCTACCGCTCTGATAGAGAATCTCGCTTGCAGTAACAGCACCAAGAATGCTGACTTTGAGAGGAAGAAGATTGCTGGAGCTATTTCAGGCAATCAGATGGCAGAGGTACATGCTAAGTTGGATTCGGTTCATAACTTACTTACAGGGAAGAAGCATGTCCACTTTGCAGCTGAGGCAGAATCCATTGAGCCTGAGCCTGAGAATTAGTCTGAGGAAGGAGTCTTCTACATAGATGGTCAGGGCTACATGAAGTTTCGGCAGCCACAGGGTAACTTCGGTGGCAATCTGATGAGATCCTCCCAAGGACTCGACACTCTTAAGGTTAGCAAAGGATACTAGTGGTTGTGAAGCCGTGATGATGGATAGATTTAAATGAATCGATGGATATCACAGAAGCTTGCGGAAGGGCTTCAAGATATCGAGACTTAGATCCTTTGGATATGCGCACCAAAAGAGACTAAGGATTTTGCTGGATATACACACCAACAAGATGATCTTCTTAGAAAAGGTTTCTCATTAAAAGAAAGATAAGTTCTCAGCAGAGAATACAAGAGTATATAAAGAGAAGGAGAAGAGAAGATGAAGAGGCAAGTCTTGGAACATACTCCAAGGCTACCTAGAACACAACAGAAATTAAAAACATAGTTTGAAATTCAAAATAAACCCTTCAACTTCAAAAGCCACAAAAATGTCTCTTTATTTTAGTGGGTTTGGGCCTTGAATCATCAAAATGGATTATCTGAAATGAAAACATAAGCCTCATTAAAAACCTTCCTTTGGAAAACTAAGTGGGACAAAACCAAATGCAGGGAAAAAGAGCACTCATGAATCACTTATCTATCTTGATGAGGTCTTTGAGCTTGAATCAAAACCAAAGAGGTAGTGACTTGGCTCAAGTCATTTGGTCGGTCCCAAATGTGGTTAAGCATCCCGCCAATGGCTTGGTTGAATATCTTAGCTCTAGAACGAGTCATTGGGACGATCGTTGTGACAAGAACATCCTCCGCTACAAGGTTCTCCTCAGCTACAAGCTCATCCTCAGCTACAAGCTTAGCTCCTTCCTCGGCTACAAGCTCACGTTCAAACTCCGGTTCATGCTCCATATCCTTATTGTTGTCCATGATCATATCACAATCGGTTTGCAGGGAACAAGAGTTCATCGAACTACACTCCAAAGCCTGCCTTTCTGAAGTCATTTCCTTAGAGCAACTTCTAGAGTACCTATGGTAATTCAACTTACCAACCAACCAACGCCCCCCCTCCACCCTCGTAAGAGAGCAGAATGAAATCTATGGTAGAGCAGATTCTTGAGAGCCAAACAAAGCTTGTAGTGGAGTGTAATGACAAGTTTTATGCTGTCTACACAGATCTTAATGGGAAGATCGACAATCTTAGCTCTCACTTGAAGAAGCTGGATGTACATTTAGCTCAAACTGTACAATCCATTAAGAGACAAGAGGGCTTTCTTCCTAGTAATCATGATGCTAACCCAAGGAAGAGTTGTAATGCCATCTTGATCAAAGAAGGAGATTATGTGTGGGAAGAATTGGACATTGAAGACGAGTTGGAGCTCGCTGCTGTAGAGTTGGTGTCGACCGACACCTACTAGTGTCGATCAACACCATATGGAACATTGTTTTCAGAATTGGTTCCTCACGAGGGTGTCGATCGATACACCTCTAGTGTCGACACTGGATCCGGACTGCACCTTGTGAGGTGAGAATCCCGATGCAGCTCGAGTCTGCGTACACTCCTCCTGTCCCTTATCCAACGAAGCGTCGTTCTAAGCAGGATATTCATGCTGCTAAGTGCACAACCATCATGGAAAAGATCCTCACTTCTCTTCCTAAGGATGCTTCTAAGACATCTTCTTCTCCACTCAACAGGTATGTCAAACGACTTGTTGACAATGGCATTAGCTCTGATGAACCTAAACTGCTGACAAGGGACATCAGTGCAATCATGTTGCATAAGGTCAAGAAAGAGAAGGCACAACGAGTGGACATAGCTTAGTACATCCGCAATATCACTCCTGATCAGACCACTGAGAAGCTCACAGATCCTGGTAGCTTCATTCTTGATTGTTCTATGTCCACAAGCAGGTTCAGCCGCTCTTTGTGTGATATGAGATCAAGTATCAACCTCATACCTAATTTTGTTGCTAAGAGACTAGGCATGACTAACTAAAGGGAGACTAGAAACAGTCTCCTCTTCGCGGATTGTTCCAAACGAATCCTTGAAGTAATTCTTGAGGATGTTCGTGTTAAGGTTGGTAACTCCCTAATCCCTGCTGATTTTGTGGTCCTGGACTACGAGCAGGAACCCAAGGATCCTCTTATCCTTGGAAGAGCATTCCAAGCTACAGTTGGTGCTAGGATTGATGTGAAGAGAGGTAGGATCTCTCTCAAAGTTTGTTATTTGGAGATGGAGTTTGACATGGATGGTTCAACGCTCACTAAGCCTATCAGTAGTATTGCCTCTAGCACAGACACACCTCCTCTAACTGCTCAAAATCCCAAACCAGAGCCACACAAAACGCTCCCATCAGCTCAGATCGCCAATGAGAATTGTAGAGCATCGGTGTCGATCGACACCATCCCTCCTGTCGATCGACACCCTCGGGATTCATAGACAGAGGATTCTGCACATCCTCTTCAGCCCACACCACTTGAGGCCTTCTTTGATAAGTTCTCTTCTATCTCTTCTCCCGCTTTACCTTCGATTAATTCCTTAGATTCTTCGAAATCTGCTTCACATGTTAACAAACCTAGAGTTCCACGAAAACTTGTTTCCCTTGTTGTTGTTGCAGGTGACGAGAAGAGTGTCGATCGACACACTACTGAGTTCAGTTTACACACCGCCTTGGAGGGCGCGGACACAACAACAATCCTCCACCAATCCCCCCACATCCTGAACTCCACCAAGTCAAGCTATTGACTCAAAACAAGCGCTTAGTGGGAGGCAACCCACTGGTTTGATTTTTCTTTTCTTTTCTTTTGTTTTTGATTTATTTATCCCGCCTTCTTCGGATTTGAATGCCATTGGGGAGAATGTCGTTTATGTCTGGGGGAGGTTCTTACTAATATTGCTTTTATTTTTGATTCTTATTATTTTTGTTTTTGAGTTTATTGAGTCATTTTCTTCCTCCTAAAAAACAAAACGTTTAGTTAGGAATCATGATCTATATTTCTCTTGATTATTGCCTGATTGGTGAGTATTGCAGGTTCGACTCAATCCGACTATTGGAAAATCTAGATGGCATACCAACAGACTTGAAGATATCCTAGTTTCCAACACAACCACTAAGGCTGGAGCTAATCTCACTGCTCTTCTTTTTACCTCTTCAAACGGTTAGTATTCATATATCTTGACTCCTTGTTCATACCTAATATTGAGACCAATGTGATAGAAAGAATGTGTTCCTCTCCCCTTATAAAAATAAAAAGAAAATGAGAGATTGAAAAGAATTTCGGATAGTGTATAGGCGTAGGAATGTTTCCTATGACCCCATTATTATATATTATTTGGAATGACCAATTACAAAGGTTGGAAAATGGCCGAGGGTGTCAATCCAGTATCCGAGTTCCCCATTGTTTACTCTTTAAAAAAAAATAAGTCTGGAGGAGAGAAAGAACAACAAAGAAAAATAAAAAAAAATATATAAAGAATGGTCGATTTATCATGGTATATTACAGGAATGAGTCTAGAAGGATCTTGAATGTTAGCTTGTTTGATGAGACCCAACGATGAAAGCCTCGTGGATATAGTTGTGGAACTTAGGTATGGAATCTAGAAAGTTGTGTAAGCTTGTAGAGAAGTAGATGTTGGTTAGGATTTGATTAGACTTGTTAGGCATGTGGATTTAGTTTGGATGATCATGGCAAAAGGCTACAGAGTGTGGGAGTTCCTTTGTTTTCAAAACCTCTTCCACGGATTTGGCTTTTGTGTTTTGCTTGAGGGCAAACAAAAGCTAAGTCTGGGGGAGTTGATATATCCCTATTTTTATTGATTTTATCTATGTTTTAGGTATAAGATTTTGAGTCTTTATGTTATTTCTCGAGTCTTTTTAGTGTCTTTTCAGGTATTCTATGCAATAGGACAACAATGGAGATGAGGAGACATTTTGGAGCTAAGGAAAAGGAAGCGAAGGACAATTTCGGATTCCGGATTCAGAGAGAGTGTCGATCGACACACTCCTGGTGTCGATCGACACCTGTTTCGGCCCAGCAAAGTCCATGATGCTTTCAAATTTACAAAAGTGGAAATTTGCCCCAGAAGACATCCCTATTTGCATTATTAGTCCCTGGACGTTTTATACGGTTTATATATAGTTTTAGATGTCATGGTTTAGACCTAAATTCCTTTTATCAAGTTCTTTGCAATCCCTATTTTCAGAGACATAAGCTATTAATCCATTGTTTTCAGATTTTCATTCAGTTTTCAATAAAGTAAATAGATCCTTTCTTACTCTTATCTTATTTGATGTGTTTATGCTTTCTTACTCAATTATGTTTTTTGTTTCATTCAATATGTCTGAGTAGTTTGCTTGTTAGGAATAGAGTTTCTCAGTAGGGATTCATATGGTTTAGTAGATGGCCCCCTTTGCTAGGTTATCTGTAGAATTCTTCATCTTTGATTATACTTAATGCTAGATCTAGAGTAATTAACTAGATCTTGAATCCAAACAATAGATATGCCCACCATAGGTATCTGCAGTTGGATCTATTATTTGATGAGTCTGGTTTATAGGTGTGTAATAAGAATCGGCCTATCTACTAAGGTGAACAATTGAACTTGTTTAGAATGCATGTTTAGGTTAAAAATCTCTCGGCTTCTCCGGTTATTCTTAGCTATAAGCATAGGGAGTTTCTCGGAACACCACCGATTATTC